AAAATACATGAGTCTTTGGTACTTAATATATAAGCACATGGTCTCTGGTAGTGCCACTGAAGATGGATCACAACCACTTCACAATGGAGCAGATGAGGAAGTACAAGGTGATGCTGCCAGCAAATTTTCAAGAGAGAATAATGCTGACTTTCAGGGTTCTTTTGCAGTGGGTCAGGATATGATGGAGAACTACACAACAGGCAGCCAAAATATTGAATGCCACAACAATGAGATTATAAAGCTGGTAGAAGAAGCAATAGATGAAATACCTCTTCCAGATATTCGAGATGACACATCAGACAATCAATCAGTTACTGGTGATGCAATTCCAGATCAAGGACTCTCAGAAAAGAAACATGGTGAAGAGGTACATATCATCTCAAGTTCTACTGGTTCTGCTGAAGAGGATTCTGAAGAAGCTAGAAATATAACAGCAGAGCTCCATTCAACCTTGAATTCTAAAGAGAAAATACTGAAGTCTGAAAATGTAAGCAGCCAAAAAGAAGCAAACAGAGAAACAGAGGAGGGAAATAAATCCAAGAAAAGAGTGCAGAGAAATTGGAGCAATCTGAAAAAATTAATCCTTCTTAGGAGATTTGTCAAGGCATTAGAAAAGGTCAGAGAATTTAACCCACGGGCCCCTCAATACCTGCCCTTAGATCCTGCCCCAGAATCAGGGAAAGTTCTCCTAAGGCATCAAAACATGGAAGACAGAAGAAATGCTGAAGAATGGATGTTAGATTATGCACTTCAGAAAGTGGTCGCTAAACTAACACCAGAAAGGAAAAGGAGAGTGGAGCTGCTTGTAGAAGCATTTGAAACAGTCATTCCAACTATAAGTTGAACTCATCAAAAGCCCCAATGCTGCAGCAGCAACTTCTCCAGCAAAAGTAATCGACCTGCTCTTAGTCCACAAGGTAAGAAAAGAGACCCTGAATTTATTCATCCTTTCCAAGAAGGACGATATTAACAATAGGGAACCTGTGGAGCAATAGAAGAAGAAGCTAAGTAAAAGAAACTCGTAAGAACAAAGTATAAGGACAAGCCCACCGTTTCTAAACCTGGTCTTGTTTAAACCAATTATTTACAAAATTCAGAAGCAGCATGATACTAGATTTCTTTCTTTAAACCCCCTCACTTGGTAGAGCATTCTTAGGAAATTTCATTGATATGGCAAAATGCACCCTGCTAATATCTTTTCTTCAACTGAAGATTTGACCTCATCGTGATATATAATGGTGTAGCTTCATTTTTTTTTTACTTCCCAATAATCTTGCAGGTATGGCCAAAAGAAGTGGTTATTTCATATGATCAATTGGAATGACCCTGAAGCATCAAGTTGGTAGGAAGATACATCACAGTAGAAACACAGAGGAAAAGATTGTTGTTTAAATATTCATTTAGGAAACAGCAGTGTAGAGGATGGAAATTGTAATTTAGTGGAGGTTGTAAGTTCCACACAAGATTCTTCTGCAACCTTAAAGCATATTTTTAGCATGCTTATGGTGGAAAAACAAATAAGAATACCATATGTGTACCTGGATAAGTAAGGTGTTGCGTATTATCTTTTTCATTTATGAAAATACAGCAGTTATTACGGTGTCAGCCACTCTATATGACTGGATGTCAGAGATAAACATTTTGCATGTCTGAGTTGTGATCATTATCACCTCCTGGTAGAGATTGAGCAGGAAGTGATATGGTAGCCACTTTTTTTGCATAATTTCTATGGTTATTACAATGAATTAACAGAAGGAAAACAAAAACCACGATGAAGTATTGGAATTTTGAAAGATAGAATTGTATGCAAGGTGCAATTTCAAGAAGGCAAAAAAAGCTAGAAAAGTGTTAGATCCTGAATTCTTAGCATTGTTATACAACAAATACATTCATATGAATTGGTACAAATAGATAACACAAAGTATAAGAAAAAAGATCATAGAATAATCATTTCCTAAACTCCGTCAACCCAAACAACTTTCTGCTTATATCTACAAGTTCTATAACCTTCTTATAGAGGCAAGCAATATCCCTGTAAAAAACAACTTGCACCGTCTTCTGAAAAAATATAGAAAGCTTTAACGAATTTTATATATACATATATAAATCCAAATAGTTTACTAGACAAAAACTTGGAAAAACATTTAAAAAGGACATTTTAACATGAACAGATGAGTTAGATCCAATTCTCAAGCCATCTCCCTCACATGAGATGAACACATTAGTCAAATTAAGGTAAATACCTTCAAAAGTTAATATGATTTCAGTCACTGAGGCAGTTTTAGTCATGTCATGTTTTCTCTGATACAGTCTATACGGATGAGATGCCTCATCCGGTCCCTCACCACATCCATCTATGTACTATAATTCATTCTCAAATATAATCTAAAAGCAAAATTTGGTTTGAAGACTGCACATGAGGAAAGTAGTGAAGGCAGGCAGGAGAAACTGATCAAGTTGACAAACGGCCTCAGGGGAACATAATATCCAAAAAAAATGGGATAGCAAAAATCAAAGTGAAACCCAAGCAGACAACTATTAGTAATTGAACTAGTACATTAAAACTTCTTCGTAATTGGAATGCACTTGGTATTAGAAAACTGATCTTTTGCTCATAGGAAAATGAGAAAGGAAGGAAGAAAGCATTTGTATACTCAGAGCAGGCCAAGCTGTTGGAAGATTACTACAGTAAGCAAAAGAAGCTTCTCAACTATCAGGAGGCTGGTGCACCAGGAGATTCATGGCAAGGTCTTTTGGCTGCATTACATCTCGAACATGTTAATGCTCAGTTCTTCAGAGAAGCTGACGGTATAAACTTCATTATTCTTTAAATCCAGTGGCTGCTTTACTTAAATTGATATTCCAGCATGGCAGTTAATATTTATGATAAGAGATAGATAAGCTTTGAGTGTGGCAAACACCCCAAGTTGGATTTGCCTCAGAATTTTTGTTTCCTTTCTGTGAGGGACTATGGATTTTGAAAGTGTGTAACGTAATTTTCGCTAGAGAAGAGCAGAGATGATATCACTGGCCTGTAAGGCTACTTATAAAATAAAGGATGCACTATTCTCTCTCTTTTTTTTTTTTTAAAAAAATAAGCTATACTGATCATCATCAGGAGAGCGTATTATACAAAAGGGCGTGGGCTATTTGGTTGTCTAGCATTTGAATACAAGTAGGGGTTCATATTACATACAATCTTACTTGTTTCACTAAAATTATAATGTGAGTCTGAGTCCAGAACAAGATCCTTGACAACATGCAGAAATTACATTTGCCGCTATATATGCTGTAGAACTAATACCTCTGGAAGAAGAAAACCCAACAAATAATCATATTAATCAACTAACATGTAACTGGAAAACAAAATAACATAAAGTTGGTGTAAAAGCTACCTTTTTATGTAGAACTTAAACCAGTGTCCTAGTGGCCCCAGAGTCTCTGCTTACATGCGTATATCCGTGCTTGCTATGAAACAAATTGCTTGAAATCTACAGAAGAGAAAAAAGTGTGCTCCGGATACCTATGCTTCATTTCCTATAAAGTCAATCAAAGAGAGGCAAGCAAAAAAACCCACCATCAAAGACAGCAAGAAATGCATGAATATTATCAAATATATTATATATATATATAACAACGCCAAATTGAACAGTTTTAGCAGTTGTGTGGCATTAATGGGGAAGTACAAAAAAACAGAGAATATACTTCACCTTAGTAACTCAGTGAGTACAGTCCAAAAACTGTATTGCTCTTTGCTGTACCATCAATTGAACAGCAAGATTAATAGCAATTCCTTGACCAGCGACCTGAGAGGTGGGTCAGTAATGCGTTATACCGACCAGCTTAACTTGAGACGAAGTTCTCATCTGATTTTCTTTCTTCTTGGAATGCCGAATGAAACCGAAGCGCTCAAATTAATTTGGTTTCTTTTAAGTTCAATTTCTGTTGGATGGACGCTGTCAAAAGACTTGAAGATTTTGATATGATTCAAGATGTGGTTACTGGTCCAAACCAAAGCGATTGACGTTGTCACTCCTTTGCATCCCTGGTGTTTTTTTCTTGAGGCCCAAATACGAACAATTGCTGAGTTTTAAACCCAAAACGGGAAGAACCCAACTAAAGTAAAGGGGCAAAGAGACAAAAGTCAGTGTCCATCACTCTATTCTCATTCAGTTTTAACCTTTTACTCTGCTCCATTTCAGGTTTCAGATTTAATAAACTTTAAATTTCATTTTTTGATTGAGGAAAGGAAATAATAACCGAACATGAACTGTATATCCTTTTCCCACATGAACTCAATGGCAAGTAAGCATGGCCCTCGAAAAGCCAATAAAAACAGGTACCAGGACAGGAAGGAAACAGCATCAGCAGCGAAAGGTAGACCTCAAAGGCAGATGCATAGGATATTCATGTTACAGCTAACCGCATCTCTTCAGGAATCAAAATGCCATACAAAGACAGCTTTTAGGGGCATACACGTCCAATACACTACGTCCCATTCTTATGGTGTGCCACAAAGTCATTTGTGATTGTGAACATAGCCCTACAAACCTTCAAATCCCATTATTCATATGGTGCCAACAAAGCTGGCCATTCCCATAACGAAACACAGGTTCCCTCATAATTCAGCATCTCTTTTCCTGTCGAATTAGAAAATTGGAGTCAAACCAGACATGACTGGCAAACATAATGATTTCACAAATCGGAAGAAGGCAAAAAACAAGGGATAAAAATACCAAAAGATAAAACCCAAAAAACTTTTGAAGTGAAAACCAAAGAACAAATACTAATAGAGACCATGGTTTGATCTGACAAAGGAACCCATTCGTCTCACAGCACAGACGTGAAAAATTAAAAGTAAACATTTGCCTCAAAATTTCATCACAATTCTTTCATTAGCTGCCATTATGACGAGAAGGCAAAGATACCTCTTAAAAATGGTTTGAGACATAACATTAACCAGAGGTTTAGGTGAGGGACAACAGATAAAGGACCAAATAATGGAGAACGATCAAAGATATTTTAGATAATACAAGCACTCCATTACAAAAAACTAAATCATAAAAATTGTTTCCGCAGAAACTACATTGAGAAACTGCAAACACTACTAAAGAGTTACTGTAGGTGCCAAACATACAAAAAAATAATTTCCTAATAAAAGGAAAGTTCTGAAACCTGCTCACCTACTCCTCTACTGCATCTTTGTTTTTTTCTTCCTTTTCTTCTTTCACTTTTATCAGCCCTGCATCATTTGCACCGTTACAAAAACGCAGTTGCCTCCTCGCTCTCTTTGCTCTTCTTCTCTTTTTTCTCTCAGACTTCTCTGTATCCGGGGAACTAGATTCAACCTTATTTTTGTTCTTCTTTTCTTCGCCTTCTCGGTCTTCTGTTCAGTTTCTGCATCACTATCCTCTTTATCCTTCTTCTTTTTCTTTTTCTCTTTCTTCTCAACTTCAACTTCTGCTTCTTCAACTTTAGCTTTCTTAGCAACAACTGGACAGGGCTATCACTGCTTTCATCCAATTTGCGCTTGCGTTCCTCTTCATCCTTCCATCTCTTCACTGTCACTTTTCTTCTTTGCCTTTTCTTCTTTCCTCCCCACCACTGTAATCTCCTTCTCTACAACAGCCGTGTCGCTATCCTTCACAGCTGGTTCAGCAGAAGCAGCAAGGGTTGCACCATAGAATCCCACCAGTTGGCAACACAACATTTCTCAACCACTCTTTAGGAGTGCTATCTTGGCTTTCCATGCTTATCCAATTTTCCTTCTGCAATCAATTTCTTCTTCATGGACGCAGTTGGTCCCAAACCCCACTTCCTCGGATAAGTATCCCTATCCATAACCACCCTCTTTATCTTTGCCACCACCACGTGGTCACAAGTAGCCATCACTGCAGTTGTCATTTCTGCAATTCCAACGCAATCGCCTCCTTATAGTAGTCATCAACACAACTTCCTCCCCGACCTCATATCATTCTCAAACCTCAACAACCCCGGATCATCAACTTTGCCCAATAACAAATAGCATTAACACAGAATCTTCACAACCAACCTCTATAACTAGTCAAAAGAACTTCAAGAGGCATAATCACCCTCCTCATATAACTCTCGTCTCTATAATTATCATAAACCCATTGAGCATCCATAACATCGTGCATTGTCACCATATTATCTTTCTCACCTAAAATCCCAGACCTAACCCTCCTAAGTTCCTGCATATGACCACCGACCCCAAGAATCATCCCAAATGAACACACATAGTCCTAACATAGGTACCCGCCTCACAAGAAATCCAAAACACAACCAATGCCTATCTGCATCATACTCAAGAAGCTTACTTTCATAAATAGTTCTAATCCTAAGCTGTCTTTTAACGGCCGAAATCAAGGGCGGCTTCTGAAAAACAGCTCCTGTCAGAGTTTCAAGAGCCCTAGCAACCTTAGCGACATCAGGCACTTTGGAATGCAAACGGGCAACGCAGACATACTCTTTGCCTGCACCCTGTTGGGATTTAACAAGTCGTGTGGCTCTATCAATACACACAATGAGATTCCCAGTGACTTTGGGGTCCAAAGTTCCACTATGCCCGGTCTTTTCGACACGTAAAATACGCTTAATCCAAGCAACAACCTCATGGGAAGAAGGGTTAGAGGGTTTATCAAGGTTCAGAACACCATACCTGATGTATTCAGCAAGAGGTCGCTTGAGAGGGGAGAAGCCGCAGGGAAGGGGAGTGTAGTGTCCGGTTCGCACGTTGAGACGGTCGTAGTTTTTGAGAAGGATTGGCCACTGGGAAGTGTCGATGGAAGGGGTGGTGCTCTGGGGTTTGATCATGAAATCTTGGTCGGATTCTTTGGTTTCGGAATCTTGCAAGGCCTTTTTCTTGTGCTTTTTCTTTTCTGAACGAGAGAGCTCAACCTCGGACATGGTTTTCCTTCTTGTCTTTCTCCTTTTGAGATACTCTTCGCTAGGGTTTTGGAGTGGGTTTAGTGTTAAGTAGGAGCGAGGAAGGAAGATGAAATGGAAGAGCTTTATAGGATTAGGGTTTTGGAGGTTTTAAGGAGAAAGCTACGAATCAACCGGGCCTTGTGTTCCTCCATATCCAATCAGGAGGGTTTGGGCTTTTTTTTCCTCACTCTTCGTGTGTTCCAGGCTTCTTTTTTTTTTTTTTAGAGGAATAAAGAAATTTAATATGAAATGAGAGAGTTACATCTTAAAATGCAATTCTTTGGATAAAGTGGTATTTTTTAATTCAGTTAGTCGAACATGGTTTCTCAAAATTTTGTTTATAGGAAGATTAAGCAAGTAATCTAAGAAAATTAAATTTTTAAATCAATATCAACGAGAAAGATATTTGTTATTTTTAACATATCTTCTCATACCCAAATATTCTAGATATTGCCCGTACCTTTTAATTACCCAATTAAGATAAATTTAAAATAATTTTTATGTCTATGGTTAATAAAAATTAAATTAATAAATTAAAGCTAGTTCATAAAAAAATAAATTAAAGTTTGCAACCATGTCTAGAATAGTTAATGAATTTTAGTAAATATTACATTTATTATAAAGAATTTACAAATAATATACATTTAATATTAAAAATTATTATTTATAATCGAGTTTTAGTAATAGGTACTATAAGGCCACTACTCAAATCTTACCTAAACCCATGAAGGGTAATAACTTTTATTACCCCAAACTCAATTATAAAATATACTAATCTTACTCAATCAAGTCGAAATGCAAAATACTATCTAGATATTCAATTTATTAAATGGATTCTTATCATTGACAAAAAAAGCTTATTAATTCTTTTGTAAACATGCTTTCATGCAATAGAAACTTAAATAACAAAAAAAAATAATGGACTTAATACATTTGTATTTATTTGCTTTTTATCGAATATGTACATAATTCTTAAATATATTTTATAATGAACACATGAGATGTGCATATTTCAAGTTCCACATTTCCATCATTTACTTTGGAGCATCAAATAAATCATGTAAGCATAGATGCTGTCTCATAAAACATCAAATAATTATATATGCTTTTTAATTAATATTGTTGTACTACCTCTATGCAATTAAAAATGCAGATAAGTATCTATTGTTCGAGTCATACTAGGTCATGAGCTAAAATGGCATTCATAGCATGTTGTATCAGCCAAAGATGTTTATTTAGAGCAGAATGTTAGCATCAACAAACATGGGAGGCAAAAGACTTCAGACAAAATCCAAGGAGAAAGTCATTTGTAAACAGAGCTGTTAAATATGATCATAAAGGGTCCTCAAGCTCACTCCTTTTCTTTTGGATTTGGACTAAGCATCAAAGTCGATCAAAAAAGAAAAACAAAACAGAAAAGCGCTTCACCTAGAGCTGCTAGTTTTCTGCTTAGCTTTCTCAATAAGGGGTTTCAATTGCTTCTTTTCAGCAAGAATTTTAAGGAAGTTGAACAAGAAGGGTATGTAGTTGTGTTTCCTACGAATATTTTCAGTCCTCCACTTCTTGAATTTCTCCTCCTCCATCAAAATCTTCTCAGTGGCACCCTCAATCCCTGAATTTACTTCTGAAAGTTGTTTGTTTAGTGCTTCAAAGCTGCTCCTGTCTGCCAGTCTGTCCGACTGTATGGTAGCCAGCTGCTGCAAGATGCGTTCCCTCTTCTTTTGGAGCTCCTTAAGTTCAGCAGTGTACATCTCTTTCCTGTTCTTGATAACTGCCATGAGGTTGAATCTTATTTCACTTTTCGAATATCTCTCAATACGCTCTTGGATTACTGGTTGCACCATCTTCAACCATTCCATGTCTCCTTGGCCAGTAGGGCACTGACCATGGCTAATGGGTCCCTCCTTCAGTCCATCAAGCTCATACAGTACCCCATCAACAGGTATGTAGCTTATGAAATGGTAGACATCGTCATCTTTCCCAGCAGCTTTCTGCTCCTCTGGGACAAAAGGCTCGGGCCTTGCAAAGCTATTATGGGCTGCACGTATGGCTTCACTGTTATTTATAGCCAGACCCTTGAGCTCTGGAGGAAAGTTTTTAGTGAATTCTTTCAACTTTGAAAGTTCTGGGCCAATGTCAATATCTGGGCAGTTCATGAGGATAGACAATATTGCTTGTGTAGCACAAGCATTATTGATGACCTATGAAAATGTAGGAACAATAAATTCAGAAGATTCATGCAAATATGTTGGACTCCAGAAGTTACAAATTAGATTGTAACTGACCTGACTAGCAAAGAATAAATTAGGGTTTGGGTCCTTAATTACAAGACGTTCATCCTTCTCCCCTGGGCGCCATTTGAAAAGGAAAACCAACCCATACACAGGCCTAGCAAGGGAAGAAAAATTATGAAGGAAGAGATTCAAATGTGAAAATGTAAAATGACCAGTACCAAGTACGAACTCACCTAAGATTGTTTAGAGCATCAAGATCCAATGAATACAACTCCTCCACCTGCTATGACATAAGCCGTCATGACAGTATAAATGCACGTAAAAGACACACTACTATACATTCCATTCAGACATATATAAGGAACATGCACAGCTATGCACCCACCCACAACCCCACACAAAGATAGACTTTTATAGCTGTACACTGGGTTAAATATAGGTGCAAGGAAGAAGCAAAAAACTATCAGTGTAAGTGGGTAGGGATGGCAATGGCAGCAATTTTACTTAACACCAACACAATCTGATCCAATTATGTAGGGTCTAGCTTAACCTATAAACAGGTTCAGTTTGCAGCTTAAAGTATGCTAATGGTGTAGCAATAGCTTACTTAGGAGACATTACCCCTTTTGGAAGTCAAAGGCTAAGATCAAGGGGCTAATTAATCTTTAAAATATAATTTATCAGTTTATACAACTTTTTGGCATCCAAAGGAATTCAATAACTTTTTGTTTTGCTTGAATGGGAATTAGTCATGTGGTCCATTGGGTCTTGTTTCGGGTTTAGTTAAATTATGAGAGGTTTAAAATGAGGCCTTAGCACATATTTGTTTAATATGTTCCTAAGTTTAATGATTTTAAGAATCCTAATCCATCTGGAAAAAAACAAGTTAGTAATTTGTAAGTGCCTATATTTTATTTCTCAGTATTGCTAGAATTCATAGGAGTTGATTTCTCATAAAATTTTCAGTTATTAGAGTTCTTGAGAACTTGTATATCTGATTTGAGTTTTCCCTCCCTCCCTCCCTCCTACTTTTCTTCTTCTCATCTATTGTAATAGTAATTGACTTAGTTCAGCTGAACCAAGATACAATTGGAAGCTTAAGGGTCATATTATAAGAATCCTTATGCCTTTCACCCACATGTAATTGAGTTAGATCTAAGGCAACAAGACCATGCATAAAGCCATTAACAAACCTTCCAATTATATGACCAGTCCATGACAATGAGAATGGGATGGTTTAAATAGCACGGTACAGAACACACATAAGGTAATTAACCTAGCACTAACTGATTCGTTCATTATTCATTAAAAAAGCTTCAACAGTATCAGTCCACATATGCATCTAACATAAAATAAAGAGAGGAAATCACAAGCAAAGCTGACCACAAGACAAACATTAGGGAGCAGTTATAACACATAAACAAGAAGCGTTACTTGTACGCCTTTAACTTGCATCTGCTGTATAAGTTCTGTAAAAACACCTGCAACACATGGCAGAAAACATTCCCATCAAGGTTAAATCCCAAAACAGCTCATCCAGAAAGCATCACAGCTAAAAGTAAGCAAGAGGAGCACTAAAAGATGATTATTCACTTGATGCAACATGTTAACACGGGCAATGCCAACTAACAAATATAAGATATACATAACAAATCCTATGCCAAACAAATAACACCGCATAACCCAATACTAAGTATTATGCAAGTAGCAAAAAAGCAAAAAATTAAAAAGAACTACCTAACACCTCAATCTAATTTAAGTTACCTTTCCTAGGCTTATGAAAAGGCTTATTAAGGCCAATGAAGGGGCACCAAATTTACTCCAGTTAAGGACCAATGATAGCCCTTACAAAAATGTAAAAGGACTTCACCTCAAATCACTGGCAACCGCTGGGGTTTCAATCCATCTTATTCTATAATGTCTTCAAAAAGCAGGGATTGGCTCGATCATTATCATGCAGTAAACATCAACATGCATTACTTTTGGTTATTTTGCATTTTTGCATTAATTACACGCACATTCTATGTTGCACTTTGAAAATCTTAAAAGAGAATATGCATCTAATTAATAGAACAACAAGGTGATCCAACTCATCCAACACCTTAACAATAATTAGAAAACAATGAAGTGCATGGATGCGATCAAGCCTGCATGTTATTGGCATGTGTGCTGCATTGGGACTGATTTCAACAAATTTTACCCACTGAAATATCAAGAAAAAATATCATGCCTCTGACAGACACTGAACCAGGCATTAATGCAATCTTACAAAACAATTGCAGCAAAATTTTTACCCAAATTACCCTCCAAATGATCACTACAAGAAGATTTTTTCATGCCCTAATATGCAAACGCCCTTGCTATTTCCCACATTTCTTCTTGTCCCTCACCATCCCTTCATGGCCATCTAAATTGAATCCCCCCCACCCCAACTTGTTTAACATTAGGGAATCACACCATTTATCTAGAAGTGGTTATTAAAGACATGTAATCTTCTCAAATGTAGCTTTTCATGAAACCCGTAATATCCTTATGTTTTGACAATATTTAGATTAGCATCTGAACTACTCAATTCATTCTCGATCATATCAAGAATATGAACTCTAACCAGAGACAAAATAGATGCAAATTTGAGAATAACTTTAAGCCAAGCTTTTCCCTAGGATTAAACTCGCTTTTCCTAAGAATAAGTGTGTTCATTCCTTGTGCTACAATGTTCAGACAAGGAAATAACATTTCCCACTCACTAATTCATTTTTCACCTGTTAAATTGTTTCTCTAGCTGCAGGAAGATATTATAAAGAAAAAGTAAAGTAACCAGACTTCACCACTAAAATGGCATTCACTCCTACAACCCTAACAATACGTATAATTGAAGCCTAACAACCCAGACTTCTCTTAACAGTTGCTGTCCATAGGAGGATTGAGTTCCAAGGTCCAAACCCACCCTTCCCCTTAAACTTTGTACCCAAAAAGAAATTGAAAAACTGAATGAGACACCAAAAACACAACCGAAGAAAAAAAAGTGAAAAAGAAAAGGCAAAGCCCATCAACAACTTAAATGGGTAATAAAGCATTTCACCTTATAATTAAGAGTAATTCTTAACAAATTAAAATTAAAAAATTAAATTTGGAATAAACATACCCGGATCGGATTCAATTGTGCACCAAGACATGGTGAGAAATTAGCAGCTGCAGCCTGCAACAAACAAACAGTAAATTGTTTAAAAATTGCAAACGAGAAGAATTTGAGGACTAAGAAATACCTAAAACTCACAAGTAGAAAGGAAAGAGGGGGTCTTCGGACTTTCTTCCTCAACCCTAAATGGCTAAAGGCTAAAACTTCGCGGGGTTACTTCTGCTGTGAGCTTTCCCACCAGCGATGATCTAATAAATGAATCTCAACCGTTGGCCTCAATTTCAAGCTTTGGACATTATTATTAAGTCAAGTGTTTTTATTTGGTTAAAGTATCCATTTAATCCATGTACTTAGATATTTGTTTTAATTAGTTTTTTTACTCAAAATCGTAATAATTTAAATTTTTTAATTTTAAAAATTATTTTAATTTAGTTCTAACATTTTTATCTAAATTGATCATTACGGTATTTATACCAATGTTGACATGGCATGAGATGTTGACATGGCATGTGAGGTGGATTCATATTGCTAACGTGACATTGTCATATCAACTTGACATGTTAGCGTAGTAGAGAGTGACATGTGGACATGCCATGTGGCACTGTTAATCATGTCCACATGGTATTATCAATCTGACATATCAACAACGATATGGTATGTCGACATGTCAAGTGGAAAAATTTCCTTCAAAATCAAATTTGGGTTGATGCAAGATGGACCTAATCGAAAAAAAAAATTGAAGTATAAAGGCCTAATTGAAGAAAAATTAGGAATAGGAGGATTAAATTGAATAAAAAATTAAATTTAACATATTAATAAGATTGCTCTAGTATATGCCACATGGCTTTTTTAGCCCTATGGCTTTAAAGCTGGCTTGTACTTTAATCTTGATTTGTAACCCTAAGTAGTTCCAAACCCTAAAAAATCAACTACTATCCTTATTGTCATTAACCCTTAAAATTTCAACCATCGAAAATCTAGAGAGAAGCATATTGAAGCCTAAATTGCAAGTCATAAGAAATGGAGACAGTAGACTCTGAAGGCCAAACCAAATTTGCGTCAACACCTACATCTCCTCGAAGACACATTTTTGTTATAAATGTGAGTAAATTTAGTCTCTTTTCATGTCATGTTATGTTTATTAATAATTATCCATGTTTAATTGATTTGTTTGGAGTTTATCTTTTGTTGTCTTGCTATGTAGGTGAATAAATTTAATTTATATTAATTATTTCAATATATTATATAGGTTGGAAGACCAAATCAATTGGTTGTTACAATTGGCCATGGGGATTCAACATCATTCATATCCAGCTAATGGTGAGCAAAATTGAACTTTCATTCTATCATTTTGTATAGGCGAGCTAAATTGAGATTTTAACATTGCTTTTGTTTATATTGCCACAGGAAATGGGTAAAAAAAGGCCACTTAGGAAATCACAATCTGAAACTAAGCTGCCTATTCAAGAAAGCAGTAAAAATGATTAAAGTTTGTTGTGATTTTTAGTTGTTTATATGTTATGTACTTAAATGTTGGTACATGTTGTTGCTGCCATGCTTTTGTCAAAAATATTATATAGTTATAGGTGGTTGCCTTGTTTTTGTTAATATTATATAGTTATAGGTGACCTTTTTTTTTAAATGGCACATATTGCATAGAAATGTTGCTAAAAAAATGATTTTGTGCAAGCATAATTTGGGTTACAAAGCCTCTCAAACAACTTTTGTAAATGGATTTGCACACACACACATATATATATATAAGTGGTTGTATCTTCTTTCATATTATAATTATAATTATAAGTATTATTTAGTGTAAGATAATTTTTGTTGGAGAAATTTGTCCTTTCATGTTTTCATGGAGAGCAATTTGATTAGTGAGTCACATTATATTTTTTTGCTTCAATTTTGTCACGACTCAAATCGATGAGCCCTGACTAATGCACGAGGCCAACAATCAAGGCCTGCAAGATCCGAGCAAGCCTCAAAAATTCAAACCACATCAAACATTCAAAGTGTCATAACAAACAGATTCATATATGATTCAAGTTCAAATACATGTAAGTTGTCATTTGGCACATAATTTATACATAACATTCGCAAGCCATATGTTGGCTAACAAAGCGAGTTCGTACCTTACAACCTTTAGAGAAATTTAAGTGGCAACATTATGCCTACACAAATCCCAAGTACATATGGTTGGGAAACACCATAATTTGAGAACAAAAACTACCGCCTCACAGACTCAGCGGAGTAGACCCATCAGACAAGAAGCCTACTAAATACCAAAATTTGTTGATCAAAGAACAACACTAGCCATGCAAGTCTTGTGGCCTATTTATCTGTACATGCACAAACAGAGAAATGACTTATCTAATACTCAGTGAGAGGATGCATATATGTCAAATAAAATTGTACAGATAAAGGAATACATATAAGCATTCACAATGCTATCAAACATATTTAAACAAGCATCTCCAACAATAGAGGCATATCAAATCATCCTTAAAGGGGTATTCTATTAATTTTACAAATAACATTTATGCTACTATGTCTCCACAAATAGTGCATATCAAGTTAGGTATACCTTAGAAGCCATTACAAAGTTAGTCACCATAGGCACATCATAGTTGCCAAAGAATTATCGAGTTCAAACTCATTTTTGCTTACTAAGAAGCTATATCATATTCATATACTCCTCAATAATCACACGTTCAAAAGCTATAGCATATTAGTTGTAATGCAAATCGTAATCATTTAGCGATCCTCCTTAGATATAATCAAATCACAAATAGTGACCAACTGATGGAGAATTAAATCATGCACGGTACATGAAGTGACTGACGAAGGGTTCAAATCATGCCTAGGGTCGAAACCATTAACGGAGAATCAGATCACGAATGATAGCTGAAGTGACCAGTGGAAAACCAATCACACTCAGTGATGAAGCATTTGATGGAGAGTCAAATCATGTTCGAAGCTAATGCATCTAACGGAGAACAAATCACGCATGGTGCTGAAATATCCACAATCAAGGCCATCATGCCTTCAATATCGCATGCATACATTATTTCACATTAGAGATCATACTCAATGAGCTTTAATTATGAACTAGCTCAATATCATTTCTAAATGCCTTTGATCCTCCAAGGCACCAAACCCTCATAGCTTCCAAAGGGCAATTTGTCTAAAGTAAACTACTCCTAGACACTCATCATCTTTATAAACCTCCTAGTCTAGGCTCAAACATGTGCCACTGAGTGGCTTACACTAAGGCACAAACACACATATTCATATATAATCATTTAACTAGCCTAGTCACATCTATCTAAGTAATATGCATAAATATATATGCATACATCTCATTGAAGTACCATGACAGTGCATTTAACAATGCATCATGCATCATATGCATTTATTCAAATAATAAACCCCACTTACAATGATAGACGAAGGCTACTCCTTAGCCAAATCGAGCTTCTCTTGCCTTTAACGATTTTAAATTCTTTAATAATATATCTCTTTAAATAAAATGTATATTCTTCATGTTAATTTATTAATTAAAAATTAAAAAATATTTAACATGTGAAAGTTAATAGAGCCATTTGATTTTCTTTTTGTATCTTTTAATCTAAAATTTAAATCTTTAAAGTTGAAACCCATAAAATATTAGTTTTCATATTTCAACCCAAAAGAAATTAAATAAAAAAATGAGTTTATAGTAATTAGATAGGTTCATATAACATGTTTCACATATCGACCTACATACTTTTCAATTTTTATTTAAATATAATATAATATATCAATTCGTCTCATTTTTTATTAATATTATAACGTATTGTGTATTATATGATATTAGTTGTTTTTAAAAGTATGTACATAAATTTTGAATAATAAGTTTGTTACATGTATTTTACCTTAAAATAAGCTCAAATGCAAATCTTTCAATTCCTCTTCACATGTCTTAATTGTGTCGTGTAAATAAAACGTATTAATAGTTATACAAGTAAACACTAATACTATACAATTAATTAAATATATGAAGATCTTAAACATAAACACGAATACATTTATCAAACTTGTAACACGACATGACATGCTTAACACATTTATTACTTGTGTCAAATTAATTTTATACAACACAACATAATTTGTAACACATTTAAACGATTTATACAATTAAATTAAAATGCACAAAATTACAAATGAACTACAACTTAATATTTAAATTTAAAACAAATAATCATAAAAAATTATAACAAAATAATAATATCCTTTAAGTATAATAAAATGCATTACCATCATCATTATGATGGGTTTGGCTATGGACGACATACTAAAAAATAAAAAACAGAAGAAAATTAAAACTTTAAAACTAAACAACCAAAATATGCGTACACTCATAGATCACCTTGGTGATATATAACACATAAAAGTACAAAATTAATTATTATTTAGAAAGTTATTTTACCAAGTAATTTTGTAATTACAATAACATTTCCCAAAGCAATCTCGTGAACCCTACAAGGAGCATAAACCCTAGCCAATCAAGTGCTTAGCCTACAACAGTAGTACACACGATTGTACATAAACCTTCAACAAATGAGGAAATTTTTAATTATACTTTATGTTAGTAAAGATGACAATAATGGTCATTTCTTTTCTTTTTCAAAAGCTTAGCTGAACTTCTTGTGAAAATTGCTTCATAAGCAATTTTCGCTTTCACACAAAGGGAATTACTGCAAAAAGAGAAAACACTTTTTATTTTTTTGACAAAAATTATATTTTCTTCAATTTTAAAAATCTCTCATATGAAAAATAGTTAAAAGGTGACTTATATAGTTAGACTAAAATAACTTCAATTTTGCAATTTGACCTTCAATATTATAACACATTATAATATTGGGTCCTTTACTTAATTAAATTCTTTTAATTAAATCCTTGGAATTAAAATTAAAATTAATTTCCTTTATATTTTGAAATCATGGCCTTATAATTATAACTATTTATAAGTATGCCTAAAACTTAATTAAACTATTTTAATTAAGTTTATAGAAGTTAATTACTTAGCATGCGATTTAAGTGATTTAAGTCTAACTTAAATCATCACTCTCTCAATTTAATTCAAATGCAATCACTGTGTGACTCATTAGGTTCCCAACATATTGGAAATGGAATTGATTAATATAAATTTCAATCAATTAATTTAAAATCAATTTTATAGACCAAGATTGGCATCTAGTAATGCATCATAGTCACCCAA